TCAAATCAAGGTTATCACTGAGCCTCAATAGTACGTCTCCCCACTGACTTCAACTCTACTAAGTGGCATTTTGAAGTACCAGCTCATGCAATTTGTATACCTTTAGAAAATAAATTAGATAGATATTATACACCAAGTGTAACATACATATCTATTTTACGCTATCTTATGGACGGGGACGAGAAGTATCTTCAAAGGTGCTATCGTTTGGTGCTACGTTCGGCAACCTGCCTACTAAGTTTGATGCAATAAATTTATCGTATGGGTGTGACCGGGGTTTGACCCCTGCTGGCACCAATTAAATTGTAAATTGCAACTTTAAATGCCGCTTCAAGAAATTTAAAAAAATCGAGGGCGTGGTATTGTTGGTGATTTACGTGGTAGAGCCACACTGCAGCTATATTAGTAGTATAGTTGTAGCACGGATGGGTTGGCTGTATTTCATATAGGGAGTGAAGAATAACGGAGACCCTATTTTCTGGAAACGAGGCATTCCATCTTAGTCCTCACGGGTGACAACGCATCTGCATTTTGATTCGTATTCGAGTATAGATGTAGATGTCTATTGGCCACAGCAATTACTTACCATAAGGTGGACTGTGTGCTCGTCTGTTATCCTTAACCTATAAAAAACCTGTTTTTAAGCTTTCAAGTATCGGTTAATAACCATTCTTTGATCATAGTTTCAATCGAAGGAATACCACATAACACGATTTTAAGCCACCTGCATCCATCGAATTGTCTTACCAAGTCATCAGTCCATCCAGTGGGAGGCCGTCCTGTATATACTTCACTTACCATACACACAACATACATCCATGGCTGCCATTCGAGAAAATATATACTGTCCTCAACGATTGTCGGTTCTTCGAGCTATATGGCTGGCCCATCGCAACTTCAGCTTACTAATCCGTGGACGCAGCGTCATTACACTACACGTGGTAGAGCCACGCTGCAGCTATATTATGGCTGTAGCACAAATGGGTTGACTCTACCCGGGAAACTACCACGCTCTCATAGAATACCAGCGTATAATAGCAGCTTAATGCTGCTCTGTTTCATATGGTGAGTGCAGAGAACCGAGGTATTCAATCATCATGAACAGCGACCCTTTTTACTGGAAACGAGGTATTCTATCTTAGTTTTATTTAGTTGTACATGTCTATGGGCGCAGCATCCAGTTACCATTAGGTGGACTGTGTGTCAGTTTGTCAACCCTATTCTTTAAAAGGATGTATTGGTTTCAACGTCTTGTTGGTAACGGTTGCATGTGCCATATTTTTACACATGTATGGTGAAACTCCCATTGGGACTGTAAGTTCAGGCACGTGTCAAATGTTTCGTCATAAATTCGCCGCCTGAACAACGGTTAAATTTCTTAGAAATTTTTCATGTGCTCCACGACCCTACGCGAGTTGTAAATAGTACATATTTATCTGTGCATGCATATTTAGCCGATGTTTGTTATCAGTTTGCTAAAATTTGTTTTGTTAGAATAATTTTTTATTCAATATAGGTCACATGTATGTAATTCTTATTGAAAGTCAGTTTTTTCTTTACCACTGGTTTGGATAAAATCTCTGTCCTGAGAAGAACCAGCAAGAAACCCAGAGCGACTTTTTTTTAAAGTAAATTTTACCAAAGGAAAGTTTGTACACATTATTTTACAAATTTTATTTTAGAAACAGCTTGTAAGAGACCACCTCATTTCCAACGTAACTCTAACACGTTATAACTAAATAATTGAATTGGTCATGAACATCAAATAAAACTTAAGTATCTTCGTATTCTTTTTCTTTTAATAAGTTTTTAACACACTCATACTCCATCAATTTTAACTAAGGTTCTTATATAATATCTTATTAAAGAATCTTTAAAAGAAAAATGCATGCGGCAGGATTTACGCAACTTCAATACAGCACGAATACGAGCTGTATTAAAGTTCTTCAATAGTTGAGTTCAATAGTTCTTCAATAGAAGAAGCGATCGAGCGGAACCAGGGCTCCAAAGTCTTTTCCAGAGATTTGTCTCCCAGATAGAGCCAACTGTCGAAGCTGAAGACCGAGTGTGCAGCATCGTACGTAAAGCCACAAAGGACGGTGGTGTATACCTGCATCCATCCATTCCGCTGCATCCATACACTCCATCTAGTGGGGGGCCGCCCTACACCTCTCTTACCGGTCTCTTACAAGGCGGCCGCTTGAAAACCTTTCTTCATTTGAAAAAAATTACTCTGATTTTTTTTTAAATTATGCATGTTTTACACAAGCGGTCCAAGACGCACCCTTGCGGCACTCCCTACACATTAAAACGTCCATTTTAATCAAAAAACATAGTAGGTGTGAAATCCAAACAACTAGGGGAACAAACTTTCCCATATCGATAATGAAGCAACAGAAAATATAACAAAAACCATCGCTTTTTGTGCTAACACCGTGCATGTTTTAATCAGTGGACAATCACGGAAATTGTTTGTGTCAATAATTATATAGAGGGAGTACTTGATTTTGACGGCCGATACTGCAGTGATTGCATTTTATTTGTACATCAGAATGAATTCAAATACAAATTAATAATCGTGTGGTAGCTGTGCGTGATCTTGTAAGAATATCCACTAGCCCATATCATGGAGTGGGTGTCGTAAGAGAAGACAGAGGGAAACAAATCTGGAGATGGGTTGGAGTATCTTCTTAATAACGATTAAAAATAAGAAACTGCGGTTGCCAACCTGCTTGCCAAGAAATATATATTCGCTCTATGAGCAACTTGTAGGGAGGGTTATGTTCATTAGTGGACTGTAACGGTGCTAGCTTTTTTTATTTTATAGGAGAGGGAGCATACGGCTCACCCCATGGTAAGTGATTACCACCGATCATGAACAACTGCAAAACAGGGGGAATTATAAATGCGCTGTCTGCCTTTTAAAAAGGAGTAGGCTCTTTTCCTGAAAGTCCCTAAGTCGTATCGGTCCGGAAAAATCTCTGGTGGTAGTCGATTCCACACGGAAGTTGTACGAGGCAGAAAACTTAGCTTAGAGTAATTAACATCCAATTTCGTCTCGTAACATTTTATTGTTTTTTTAATTTTTTTTATTATAGGTCAGTGTTTGTTTACAGTCCTATTTAAAAGTGACGAAGCCCTAGATAGTATATCACACTGTCTTATCGCGACAAAAATTTCTATCTTGATTTGAAGACACATACTTAGTGTTGCGTGTCACAATTAATTCCTGGTACATGGCGAAACTAGTTACCACTAGTAACAATAGTAATCGGACGGAAAAACAAATGCTGGCTAATCAGAACTCTACCACCTACTTTAAAATACTTAAAATTACTCTACTCCTTTTTCTCATTACGAAAGACGAAGTATATCGTTAGTTTAAATGTGTGGAATGTCAACAATGTTAGTATAATCTAGTTGCTATCAACAGATAGTGTTATGACGATAATAATATAACCAAAATTTTCTATTGCCATCATCATCATTATCATTATCATTACAGCCCTTCACAAGTCCACTGCTGAACATAGGCCTCCCCCAAGTAATGCCACAAAGCACAGTCCCGAGCCACCTGCATCCATCGATTTCCTGCATGTCTTACCAGGTCGTCACTCCATCTAGTGGAGGGTCGCCCTACACTACGCCTACCGGTACGAGGCTGCCACTCGAGAACCTTTCTTCCCCATCGGTTATCGGTTCTTCGAGCTATATTGCCGGCCCATTGCCACTTCAGCTTACTAATCCGTTGGGTTATGTCGATCACTATGGTTTTACTGCGGATATCCTCATTTCTGAGTCTATCACGCAGAGAAACTTCGAGCATAGCCCTCTCCATAGCTCGCTGAGCGACCTTGAGCGTCCTCATACGGCCAGCAGTGAAGGACTACGTCTCTTATCCGTAAGTCATCACTGGCAACACGCACTGGTTGTACACTTTAGTTTTCAGAAATTGAGGTATACCTGACGAAAAGATGTGTCGTAATTTCCCCAACGCTGCCCAGCCGAGTTTAATCCGTCGATTGACCTCTCGGTCGAAGTTGGACTTACCTAGTCGGACTATTTGTCCCAGGTAAACGTACTCGTCAACAACTTCAAGCATAGTGCTCCCAACAACTACCGACATAGGTGTGACATGGACATTGAACATCATCTTTGTTTTGTCCATGTTCATCTTAAGACCTATCCGTTGGGAGACACCATTGAGGTCATTGAGCATAGTGCTAAGGTCCTCCAGCGATTCTGCCATAAGGACTATATCGTCGGCAAATCGAAGGTGAGTGATGTACTCGTCATTGATGTTAATACCGAATCCTTTCCAGTCCAGTAGCTTGAAAACGTCTTCCAACGCAGCGGTGTAGAGTTTCGGGGATATAACGTCACCCTGTCTTACACCTCTCTGCAGTTGAATAGGTTTCTAGCTCTGGTTCTGTACTCGGATAGCCATCGTAGCCCTACTGTACAAACACTTCAGCACCTCGATATACCAACAGTCAACTTGGCACCGCTGAAGGGACTGTAGCACCGCCCAAATTTCGACGGAATCAAAGGCTTTCTCATAGTCCACATACGCCAGGCAAAGTGGCAAATTGTACTGCGTTTATTTGTGTCGTTGCTCATGGGGGGATATTTGCCATAGTTGCCACGCTTGGCGAGCGGGTTGGCAATCGCAGTTTTTTATTATGTTATTGTTGTTATTAGGAAGATGCTGCTGCCCATCTTCTTTCTGTGTCCCTCTATCGCCTCTTACGACACCCACGGGAAGATATGGGGTAGTGGATATTCTCAACCGCCACTACACGGCTGCCAGCACGGCTGCAAGTACTGTTGGGTCTTTAAATCACATTTTGGCAGCGGTTTGAAAATATTGTTCGGCCATCTTGAAAATATTTGAAGAGCTGTAACTTCTAAACCCCTTAAAATAGGATAGCCGTTCTTGGGCTTGTTTTTTTTGTCTATTAGAGACCTATCTCTTTAGAGGAAGGAAAGAAGAAAAAAAAATGTCAGATAAATCAAAGAAATCCGCGTCCAGTGGTTCTGAAAGGTACACAGCACCCAAAAAAAGACCAACATGTACAGCAAAAAGTGCAAAAGAGACAAGCCGGGTACCATTAATCAATGACCTTGAGGAGGAGTCAGCTCATCAACACCCGAGTGCACCACCACTGGAAATCTCTGGAGGCGGCACAGGGAAGCAACATACGGAATCTCAAACGGGAGATCAGCACGAGCCTGAAATAGAGCCAGCCTCAAGCTTCTTCACGTCGCCAAAACTCGGTGATGCAACGTCATCTCCAGTTCTCTCGAGAACTGAATCTAGCCTGCTTAGAATACGTACGCCGATACGGCAGGCAAAAGCAGCAGAAGCTCAAAAAACTCTCAAAGCCACGTCTGAGGCTGAGGAAACAGGCGAATCTGATGTTGACAGTGGCGAGACCAACATCTCCCTCGACGCCTCCACAAGGTCGATTGGTGGCAGCCGTATGCTGCTAAATAAGTTGCCCAGACACGCAAATGAAATCTTACAAAGAGCCAAAGCAGACTTAGAAAAGCCGGGCAACTTAAAGAAGGAAATACGCGAGAATGTAGTCTGCACACACTGTACGAGATGATCCTTAAGTTGTCTGACTCACGCATGCTACACATGCTCGAATCCAGTAAGCACAAGGCGAATGTCTCCAGAGAATCAGAAAGGCTCACCCAAAGACATGCCCGATTCATGCATGAAACTCTAGGTCAGTATGCCACATTGAAAGAGGGCATAGAGAAGCTCCACAAGGAAACTGAGTCAACCAGACTTATTGTCTCATACGATCTCTGTGAGGCAGTTTCAGCAACGAAGAGAGAAATAACAAATTTCAGAAACGAAACAAGCTTAGGCTCAAACTTGGCAAGTCAGCTGCAGATTATCTCAGAAGAAGTAAAGTTACTTCGAGACAATATGAGCTCATTTAGAAAATCACCGACTGCAACCCAAGATCAATGGAATTATCTCTCAGAGGAACTCAAAGAGCTCCGGCGCATCATAAAGAAGATAGACACCAATAAAGAACGATATGTATTACCTGCCAATATACCAGCGAATATAGGCGATGCAAATGTTGCTGCCGAGAGATTGCAACAGGAAATCACGGACTCCAAACTTTTGTTAATCTCAGAAATATCTGAGTTGAAACAAGAAGTAAGCAGAATATCTCTAGAGATCCGAAGCCTATCCTTGGCTGTCTCCAGCTCCGCATTCCCCTCGGTACAGGCCAGCTAGGAGGAACTGAGGAGGGAAATGAAGGAGTTGAAAGACACTGCAGTTGACTCGACATCACCTATCAGACTAGCGATAGAGGGCCTTAGAAGCGATCTTAAGCATAAATCACAGGTCGAAGAGAGAGAGTTAAGAAGTATACAAATTAAAATGATGGAAGAAAAAGGCACAGAATCAACTCAGCACTCACTAATGCCGCAACGTAAAAAGCTTCCACGCGCGTTTTCGGAGGTGGTATCAAAGCCAAACTTTCCGATTATAGTGGAATCTATCGACCCCAGAAATACAAGCGATGACATCATGAAGCAAGTTAAGGATGGGATCGATGTAGTCGAATTAGTTATTGGCATCAACCATATTAAGAAAGCCAAGAACCAGAAGGATCTAATCGGTTGCGAGTCTGAAGGAGATAGAAATATTCTCCAAGACCGACTTAAGCATACAACTGACAACTTAACAGTGTACAGACCAGCCACCAGAAACCCACTTTTGCGCCTTACAGGAGTTGTCTTCGACTTGTCAAATGGTAAAATCGAAGAAGCTATAATAAAACAGAACACCACACTTCTAAGCGATATTACGGCAGCAGAAAAGCAGGTGAAAGTTATCAGAAGAACGAAGGGTTGCACAAGCTCCACGTGTAATATTATCTTGGAAGTAAGCCCGCAAATCTGGGCAAGGTTACAGAATCAGAGAGTGAGAATAGGATTTCAAATAATTCCAGCCACTGACCAATCACCGGTAGTCCAGTGCTATCGATGCTTAGGCTACTCTCACTTAGCACGGGAATGTAAAGCACAAAAAGTGAACTGTGATTACTGTGCTGAGGAACACGACACAAGAGAGTGCAATAACAGGAACAAGGCACCAAAATGTATAAATTGCATACACAGAAAGGTTAATGACCAAAGTTGCGACCATCCTGCCTACAGCCCTGAGTACTTAGAGCGGAGAAATGGGACATCTCAAGAGCAACTGTATCGTATTGCTAAAGACACCGACGTTTCCCCACAAGAGTCAACAAGTACGAAGGACGTAGGAATAAAAATAGCACAGATAAACCTCGGAAGAGGGCGAGCTGCATTACAGGAATGTCTGCAATCAGCTGTCACACAGGGCATTTCCATTCTTTTGGTACAGGAGCCTTATGTAGGGGCAAAAGGTCACGTTACCTGCCAACATAAGGTAATACAGAAAATTTCTAGCGATGTTCAAAGACCAGTCAAAGCGGCCGTCATTCCAACCATACAATTTTTTATCAACCCTGTAACAATTACTGAGAACATTGTAGCATGTAAATTTAAAATAAAGTGCCTTAGTATTGTAATAATTAACGTTTACTTGGAAGGTGGACAACAGACTGAAGACGATGTGTGCAAAATTTCGACCTATGCAAGTATCCTAAATGAAGATCATATCATATTTGGAGGAGACATCAATGCGAAGAGCCCCTGGTGGGGTTGCAATGTGGAGGATAGGAGGGGAGTAGCTATGGCAGAAGCGCTAGGCCAACTAGGCTTACACATATTAAATACAGGGAATACGCCAACTTTTTCTGTATACAGAGGAGAGAGAAACTACACCAGTATTGTTGACATCACTGCATGCTCGAGCAATCTCTTGCGAAAAATCTCCAACTGGAAAGTAAACCCAGAATTTGTTACACTGTCTGACCACAGAGCCTTAATATTTAACCTAAATTATTTAAGCACAGCGAAAAAAAATACACTAGGACAATCCACACGTACTTACAATACATCTAAAGCAGACGGGAGCAAATTTATTCACACCCTAAGACAAGAACTAAATTACCACAACATCACCGAGGAAACCGTTTCTAGAATTATAGAATCATATCCATTGGAGAATCTAGTAAGATTATACACCACATGTGTGAAAGAATCTTGTGAAAAGACTATCCCTAAACTGTCCAGGAAAATACTTCAAAACACACCATGGTGGACGGAAGAACTCAACAGGAAGAAAAGAGATGTAATTCAGAAAAGAAGGAAAATCAGATACGCAAACCAGAGAAGGAAACAAATAGTAATAGAAGAATATGTTTTAGCCAAAGCGGAATTTAAAGACCTCCTAACGGAAACGATGACAGCTAGCTGGAAGGAATTTTGTGCAAGGCAAGATAAAGAAAACATCTGGCAGGGCATTTACAGGATCATACGGAAATCAGCCAAAACACCAGAAGACACTCTACGGAGAATGACGCCGCAAAGCTGTGTTTTAACTCCAGGGGAATCAGCGAAATTGTTGGCTGATACTTTCTACCCAACCGATGACATCACAAAAGATGAATACGATCACACTGAGATGAGAAATATTTCCGAAGCCATCAGAAAAGACCTGTGTAATGAACTGCACGAGGAAAACATAATACCGTTCACTATCACAGAAATAGAGAATGTATTTAACAGCATGAGTCCAAAGAAGTCCCCAGGAGAGGATGGTTTAACGGTGGATATATGTGAGAAGTCATATGAAGCGGCACCGCAAGTACTTATAGCTATTTACAACAAATGCCTATCTCTTGGATATTTCCCCCAGACTTGGAAAGGCGCGATAATCAAAATTATCCCAAAACCCAACAAAGAAAATTACAGTCTTCCTAAATCTTATCGGCCTATCGGTCTTCTACCGGTCTTTGAGAAAGTTCTGGAAAAGATGTTCGTAAACCGAATGTCATGGCAACTAGGACGAGAAAATAAGATGAGCAACAGACAGTATGGCTTTGTAGCACAAAGGGGAACCGAAGGTGGCCTGTATGGTGCCATGAAAATAATAGAAAAAGGCATAAAAGACAAAGAAATAGTTGTCATAGTATCCTTAGACATCGAAGGGGCTTTTGACAACGCTTGGTAGCCTGCTATTAGAAAGAAAATCAACAACAAACAATTAGATAAAACTATCCAAAGACTTTTAAGCAGCTATCTGTCTGAGAGGCATATAAAACTCAGGTACGCAGGCACTGAGATCAGCAAGGAGACAAACAAAGGGTGCATTCAGGGCTCAATCTGTGGCCCTAATTTTTGTGGAATCTACAGCTTGACTCCCTGCTTCAGGAAATAGAGGATTTCAAAATTCAATTCGGAATTCAATTCGGAAATTCCGAGGACTATATACATAACAGTTGTAGAACCTACAGTTCTATACGCGGCATGTATTTGGGGAGCCTCAGTCTATAGGAAACAAATTAAAATAAAGTTGGACTGAATTACCAGATCGTTCAGTATAGCAATCTGCAAAGCGCACCGAACAACATCTCTAATCTCCTGCGCAACACTTGCCAGAATCATCCCACTGGATCTAAGAGCCCTGGAACAAATGGAACTTTATGAAACGAAGAGAGGTAAGCCAATAACATACCTTCCGGGAAGAGCATTTGCGAAACCAGTAAATCCACATATCTTGCCCCATCCAGCGAAGCGGATTAAGATCACATACGGCTCAATCACAGCAGAGAGTGACATAGACAATATTGGAAACAGCTGGCCATGCATCTACACCGATGGCAGCAAAATCTCTAGCAAAGTAGGCGCTGCAATTACCTGCTGGATAGGTGGAAAAGAGAAATTCAAAACGCGCCTGAAACTCGGTAACCATTGCAGCGTTTATCAAGCGGAGCTGGCAGCAGTACTTAAAGGTCTGGATACCATGCTCAAACAACAATCACTGAAGAATGCAAACATAATTAGCGATTCTCAATCAGCGCTGGAATGTTTATCGAACCCAAATACTCTGCACCCCATCGCAGCTGAGATACTGAATCGCGTGGCAGAAGTAAGAAAGCACAACGGAGAAGTAAAGTTTTTCTGAGTTAAAGCACACTGTGGTATCCCAGGCAATGAGAGAGCAGACGAATTAGCAAAATCCGCAGCAGAAACCTCCAAACAGGCACCTGTTTATGACTGCTTCCCCCTATCATTCGCAAAGTACCTCATCAGAAAGCATACTCTACTCAAGTGGCAGGAAAGATACACCAGTGCAGACACAGGTGATTCCACCACAAGGAGATTCTTCCCAAACGTCGAAGAAGCATACAAGACGCTGAAGAAAATTAAATGTACAACATAAGATCTCAAATATTTACTGGACATGGTGGCTTTAGAGCTTACCTGCACAGGTTTAGGTTAGCGCAAAGCCCCTACTGTGACTGTGATCATGCAACACAATAGTCTATCGAACATATACTCTTAGAGTGTCCCAAATACTCAATAAACAGAATGACCTGTGAACACCGTATAGGCTAAACGGACGAATTCATTTTTTAAAGTTTGCTGAAGTATTCGTTAGAAAGGCCCTTAAGGAGAATGGATCAAAAATTAATTGAGGCATTTATAGAAAGCAGAATATTTAGTCACATAAACTCTTGTAATAGTAAGATGTAAGGCACATACTAAAAAAAAAGTAAAAAAAAAAAAAAAAAAAAAAAACAGAAAAAAAACAAAGACGAAATGTTAAAAGATTGTACATTAAAAAAAAAAAGGATAAAGGGTGCTGTAAAATAAACAACAGCAGATGAAATGAGAATATTAATAAAAAAAAAACACGGCTGCCAAGTTAAACGTAAATATAAAGTGTTGATGGGCCTGATTACACATGCCCGATGCCGTAGCAAGGAAACAAAGACAAGGGTATGAGACGTCTGATAATAAGATCTCCGATCCTTCTGCTAGGTTGAGTATTTTGGCGGAGACAACCTATCCCTATAATGGATAAGGTCCAATGCCCAGCGGTGTACTTTACTTGGGATTTTGTTTTAAGTGAGAGAGTGGTCTTTCCCTGGTCCCGTCGATCCATACGTGGTATAACCATAATATTGCTGCAGCATGGCTCTACCACGTAATAAGACATTGACACAAATAGTCTTAACTGTGGCTAGTTTTTCATTTTTGTGCACTTATGTTCTAATCAAGCAAACTTGATCTTGATGACCATAAAGTCAGTATGTCATATGAAAAGTAACAGGCAACGTACCTATCCATTACACGCTACAAGTTCTAAGCCTCTAATTCCTCAGTACTGCTACTTGACAATGTAGTGTAATTTAATGGAGTGGCCGACACTGCGGGACAAAGGGAGAAATGAGCCGCGCTAAGCTACCGGCGACAGATCTATGCAGTGTGCGCGGCGTCCATATGCCGCGATGCAGTTGAGTATATACTACGACTGAACAAAGTTGGTTCTTTCGATATTTCATATATTTTTCTTTTTTATTGTGCGAACGGCTATGCAATTCTAGAAAGACGCTGCTATGGCTATAGTTCACTGTTAAGCCCTATGTCTTCAATGAATAGAAGGAGTTACTTAGCTGTGAGCAATTTCATTTCTGGTTCTGGGTGAAGTATATAGCATCCAGATGAGTGTTACCTTTGCGCATTAAGGGTCTATAATCATTTAGTATAAAAAAAGTAAAGTAAAGTTACAGTCTATATACGTCCCACTGCTGGGCACAGGCCTCCTCTCATTTCTAAGAGGGTTTTAGGGCAAGGAATAGTACGCTGCGCTGCCCCAAATGCGTGTTGGCGAACTTCACATGTCTTCAAAATATTTTTTTTCTTATTTCTCAGACATGCAGGTTTCCTCACGATGTTTTCCTTTACCGTCGGG